AAAGAACCTGGTATTAATATGTAATTATAACCATATAAGTAACATGGCTAATAATGGAAAGATGAAACTTTGCTAAGGAATTTGTTTATTTGCAATTACAATTCTATTAGGGGTTTTCTTCCAGTAGTGTAACTATGTAAGTTTGATTTTCTTACCAACCATTTATTGAAAATATAGTATATATTCGAAATGGAAACAGCTTATTTATTTCTTTCTGATTGTAAAATAATACATGTCCTTTGGAATTCTAGTGCTAATGTACATTAGACAAGCCAAATCCTGTAGTTCTTATTCAGTTCTCATCATTGATTTTATAGCATCTGACATTATTGACTTCTTGTCCTTTTGAAGTCCTTTTCAAACATGGCCCCTGTTATATTATTCTCCATCAGCTTCAAACATGGGCCCCTGTTATATTACTCTCTCCATCAGCTCTACGATCTATAAAGGCAGAGATTTTTTTCTGTTTCCATCAGTCTAATTCACTGCCTAGAATAGTACCTGACCTATGGAAGGTACTCATTAAATATTTAATGTATTGATTCTTTTACGTATCTATCTATTCTTTTTCTGATTCTTTTGTTAACTCCTCTTCCTTCTCCCAAATCTTAAAGCTGATTATTTCCCCAATGTTGAGACTTTCTCTCCCTACTCTTTCATTTTTGAGTCCTCATTCATTATAATCATATGACTTCTCTAAATGCCACCCATGTCTCTATCACTTACCTTGTCCTCTTTTCTAGAATCAAATCTCCAGGTTCCCTGTGACTATCTTTATATGTTTGTCCCGGTCACCTCAAATTTAGCATATCTAAAATTTGTTTTTTAAGCTCCCAGTCTGTGATAGTGGTTCTCATTCTGACAACCATTTTTTTCTCCAGTTTTTTTTTTTTTTGAGAAATAATCGACATATGTCACTGTGTAAGTTTAAAGTATACAGCGTGATGGTTTGATTTACATATATTGTGACATAATTACCACAGTAGGTTAATCAACATCCACCCTCCATTATCTCATATAGATACAATAAAAAAAAAAAGAGAAAAAAAATTCTCCTTGTGATAAGAACTCTTAGGATCTACTCTCTTAACAACTTTCCTAAATATCATACTGCAGTGTTAGCTTTAGTCATCATGTTTACATTACATGCTTGGTACTTGCTCATCTTATAACTGGAAGTTTAAACCTTTCAACCACCTTCTTCCAATTCTCCAGTCCCCACTCCCTGTCTCTGGTAACCACAAATCTCTTTTTCTGTGAGTTTGGTGGGGGCTTTTTTGTGTGTGTGTGGATTTGTTTCTTTGTTTGTTTGTTTTGATTCTACAGGTAAGTGAGATCATATAGTATTTATCTTTCTCTGTCTGACTTATTTCACTTAGCATAATGCTTTCAAGGTCCATCCATGTTACAAGTCTCTTTTAATCAATGACACTATTATTTTCTCATTCTCCATACTTCAAATTCTTAATCATTTTGGCACACCTATATTATCATTATAAACATCACCACTACCATGATCATTAGCATCAATCATCCTCCGTGATATTTATATAATGCTTTATAATCTGAAAAGTAGTTTTGCATGCATAATTTTCTCTCTTGGGAATTGTTCCTGACTTTTTCCAAGAGACTAATTTTGACTATTTAAAATATTTAATTACCTATTGTGCAATAAATTTAAAATTACAATCAAGGAGAAGTAAAGAGTGCTGTGAATTGGGATAACAGATGTCTAATTTAGTTGTGTGCATATGAATGTGCTCATACGTGTGTTTGTGTGTGTATTTTGCAAGGCTGACTGGATAGGCTTGCTGAAGTATATTACATTGAAGTGGAGGCTGAAAGATACACAGGGGAGCTAGAGAAAACAGTGAGTGCAATGACCCTGACATGGAAAGGAACATGGTATTTTTAAGAACCCAAAAGAAGCCTAATGAACCCTGAATGAAATAATAAGGGAAAGAGTGGCAGAAGATAAGGCTAATGAGATAGTCAAGGTTCAGGGCCTCACCACAAACATTTATTTATATGGAAAGTATGATGCTATATTATATTTTATGTTGTATGTATATTTTTCACTTTTGACTTCTGAAATCCTCTCAGTTGTGACTATTATAACCTAATCTTTTAAATAACTGATTAATTGGTTTATTTTCACAAAAATATTTAATATTATAGAATTCAGTAATCATTGTATGTTTGTTACTGATTTACTCATTCTTGTGTTTTATTTATTTATGTTAAAGATTTTATTTATTTATTTGACAGAGAGAGGCAGAGGGAGAGGGAGAAACAGGCTCCCCTCTGAGCAGGGAGCCTGATATGGGGCTCGATCCCAGGACCCTGGGATCATGACCTGAGCGGAAGGCAGACGCTTAATGACAGAGCCACCCAGGCGCCCCTTGCTTTATTTCTTTAGAGAAGATTATTTACTTAGTTGACAGGGAGAGTGAGAAAGAGAGCATGAGCAGGGGGAGCAACAAAGGGAGAGGGACAAGCAGACTCCCCGCTGAGGAGGGAGCCTGACAGTGGGTTTGATCCCAGGACCCTGGCATCATGACCTGAGCCGAAGGCGGATGCTTAACCGACGGAACCACCCAGGTGCCCCTCTTTTGTGTTTTAAAAAAATATTTGAGAATACCAAATGTTTTCTTGGAATACCATTGAATTTATGAGTTTTTCTGCAATTGAATGCCTTTCCATTAGTATACATTCATTCATTTAAGTCTACTTTTATATAATTTAATAAAGTTTTATAATTTTCATCACAAATGTGTTGCATAATTTAAAAAATTTATTCCTAGGTAACCTTATATTTTTGCTTCTAAAATAAATGGAGATTTTTTTTCCTATTAGACTTTTAAATAATTTTTACTATAGTATAGGGATAGAATAGATTTTGTAGTTTGTGTCCAGCAACCTAGTAAAGATCTCTAGGTAAACAATCAGATAATCTTTTAAAAGTATAAACCAAAAAGGAAACAATGAAGGCAAAATCCCCAGGCATCCTTTTTTTTTTTTTTAATTCTGAGAGTGAATTAAAGAATGGACAAATAAAGTTGGGAATATTTAGAGTAGGGGATAATTGGAAAGGAGGTGAAGTTATAGCTACTGGAATGGAACACACTTGATGAAGGGAATGGAAGTGAATTTAATGATCTTTCAGAACTTCCCCTGGAGTATTCCTCATAAAAGAAAATACCTTGATGTGGCTCTCAAGCTGTGACAAGTGCCTTAAATCTAATTGACTGCTGGCTTGCCATTCTGTGCTAGGTGACTCTTATCATCAATGTTTTTAACCTTAAGTTTATCAGAAATGCAGGGATGAGGGATGTGGTATATATATATACAATGGAGTATTATGCAGCCATCAAAAGGAATGAAATCTTGCCATTTGGAATGACGTGGATGGAACTGGAGGGTATTATGCTGAGCGAAATAAGTCAATCAGAGAAAGACATGTATCATATGATCTCACTGATATGAGGAATTCTTAATCTCAGGAAAGAAACTGAGGGTTGCTGGAGTGGTGGGGGGTGGGAGGGATGGGGTGGCTGGGTGATAGACATTGGGGAGGGTATGTGCTATGGTGAGCGCTGTGAATTGTGTAAGACTGTTGAATCACAGACCTGTACCTCTGAAACAAATAATACATTATATGTTAAAAAAAAAAAAAAGAAGAAGAGAGCAGGAAGGGAAAAATGAAGGGGGGGAATCGGAGGAGGAGATGAACCATGAAAGACTATGGACTCTGAGAAACAAACTGAGGGTTCTAGAGGGGAGGGGGTGGGGGGATGGGTTAGCCTGGTGATGGGTATTAAAGAGGGCACATTCTGCATGGAGCACTGGGTGTTATATGCAAACAGTGAATCATGGAACACTACACCAAAAATTAATGATGTAATGTATGGTGATTAACATAACAACAACAACAAAAAGAAATGCAGGGATGTCCTCAGTGCCTTCAACTCCTACACACAAAAAGAAAACCTATTAACAGCTTTGGATGTCTTCCCTACCCTCTTTTCTGTAGCCATCACACAGTGGAATGCCACCTCATTTATAGAATGGGCAAATAAGTCAGATTAGACTAACTGTCCTCAAGCAGTCCCTCTAAAAACAGGGTCTAGACCCAGTTAACCGAACTGGAAACTCTAAGGCCAAATAGCTGGACTAGAAGCCTTGTAGGAAACACTGTCAATCTATGTCCCCAAATTATATAGGTCTCTACTTCAGAACCCCCCCAATTGTAAACAACATGTTCTTTCTAGGAACATCACGTGCACCCTTGAGATTGTGTGTCTTGTGTCCAAACCACACATTCTCTTCCTCCCTTACCAAGAACATAGTGACTTGTGCCATAATCATGGTCACAAGAGATCTTTGAACGTTTAAGCAAACACTACCAGTAGATGATGTAGGGCACAGATGATTTGGGGTTTGGTTTCCATTTATATAGCATTCTGGAAAAGGCAAAACTATAGCAATGGAGACCAGATTAGTGGTTGTCAGGGGTTGGGGAAGGGGCAGAGGTGTGACTATAAAAAAGCATCACGAGGGGGAGTTCATGGTAAATTACACTCAGTGTAAGTGAATTTTATCATAGTGTGTTCTGAATATTACCATAAAGTATAGCATATATGATGAGAGAAAATATGTGTATGTGTATGAGGGAGATACAGAAATAGTTTCTATGATGAGTCCTATAAATAATCCAAAAATAATCATAACATTCAATATTATTTTTGATAATGTATATATCCAATATTTACATTTTAAATAATTATCTCCCAAATTATACTATACTTCATGTAATGCTAAATTTAGTTTTTGTTTTTGTTTTTTTCTAAATTTAGTTTTAATTTCCCAAGTCTACTCTGGATGATTGTCACAGTCAGGGGCAGGGAAGTGTGAATTTGGAGTGGTGTTGAAGTTGGTGACCAGGAAATTTTAAGCTTGAAGTCATGGTAATGCATGTTCATGTCTCTCACTTTCTATAGACACCCCATCACAGCGAGTACAGTTTATTCTTGGAACTGAGGATGATGATGAGGAACACATTCCTCATGACCTTTTCACAGAACTGGATGAGATTTGCTGGCGTGAAGGTGAGGATGCTGAATGGCGAGAAACAGCCAGGTGAGGATTTTTGTTGAAGGGTGAAGGTATACTAAATAATGTTCATACTATTGGAAAAGAGATTTGTAAAGCCACGATTTTGCAAACATCCGTGAGTGCTGTTGATTTCTGAAATTGCTCCTCTGGCCTGGGCATATCTTAAAATGGGATATGGGTCAGAATGAAATCTGAAGGCAGCAATTATAGTAAACAGTGATGCAGAGCCAGCAACAGCTGCAGCCTGAAAGATAAACAGTAGCATAATTTGTGTGTCATCAGGAAAACAATAGGAATCTAAAAGTAATTTATTTCTGTTTTCAACTGTTGGCCTGTGCCCAAATTAGGGATATTATATGATAATTTGAGTGTTGGACTTTTTTAAAGAAAGGGAAAACATAAGAGGCTTTAGGTATACTCCTGGATTTATTTATATACTACTTGATGAGGGTAAAAATTTTTTGTAATGTGTTTCTAGGATATATATACATCTAAGCATAGGGTTTTTTCAAAATAACTTTTCAAAAATTACTTTTCTGTCAACTGTAATTTTTCTATATTGCCATATAATTGATGAATTACTATGAAAGAATAATAAGCTAAATTTTGCATTTGCTTTTCATTTATTCATTCTTACCTTTTTGCTCATTTATTTAACAAACATTTCTGAATATCTGTTATGTGCCAGGTATAACGGATAGAAAACAACAAAAATCTTAGATCTTGCCTTTAACAATCTCACAGTTTAATGAGGGATTTAGACAAGTAAACAAAGCTGTAAATACTGTATAATGAATGCTGTGACACACGTGTGCACAAGGAACTGGGCACACTGAGGGTTGTCCTTTAACCACTGCTTCCCAACTATTAATGTGAATGCAGATCACCTGGGGTCTTGCTGAAATGTAAACTCAGTATGCCTCAGGCATGGAATCTCAGATCCTGCATTTCTAATAAGCTTCCGGCTGATGTCACACCAATGTTTTTGGTTTGAGGATCACATTTTGAGTAGAAAGGATCTAAACCACAAGGGTGAAAGAGAAGGGATCAAGACAGCTTTCCTGGAGGAGGTGATTCCTGAGCTGGCTCTTGAAGGACGAGTTAGAACTAGCTAGGAAGAAAAGCAGAACGGGCGGTAGGCTAGGAAGAGGAGGCGGGATATGCTTGAACACGTCCGTTGACACAGGTTTGCCTGTTTTGTTAGGTTATTCCTTCCGTGGTCACACAGCTCTCCTTGTTAGAAATTCTTTCTGTTGGCCGTATTTGTTTGTGGCCCAGGGACTGACAGCGCTTTAAAAGCCACAGTACACCACTGGATCATATTAAACTTGATTAAACTTGTGGTTGTATTTAATCATTGCCTTAACTCTACCCAGGGTTAGTGTGAAATTAAATGTTCAGTCATGATATTATAAATAATAGTTAATTCTTCTTTGATGTATTTTGAATGGTCTTTACAGGTCCCTTTTACTTAAAAAATACTAGAAGTAAATAGAAGAAAATTAAAATGGCTATTTTACCTAGTTCATCTCTCTTAACATTTAAAAAAATAAAATGAACTGCTAGAATTTAAAATTCCAAAAGTATAGGGGCGCCTGGGTGGCTCAGTTGTTAAGCGTCTGCCTTTGGCTCAGGTCATGATCCCAGGGTCTTGGGATCGAGTCCCACATCGAGCTCCCTCCTCGGCGGGAAGCCTGCTTCTCCCTCTCCCACTCCCGCTGCTTGTGTTCCTGCTCTCGCTATCTCTGTCTCTGTCAAATAAATAAATAAAATCTTAAAAAAAAATAAAATAAAATTCCAAAAGTATAGAAAGATAAAAAAGCAAAAATATCCTCTACTCTTGTTCATATTACCTCTCTTCAAAGGCAATCACTGTTCTTGTGTCTCTTATAAAAATTTTAATACCTAGATCTGCATGAAAATACAATAGGGATTATATACAATGTTCATGCCTCACTTTTTCACTTAATATATTTGGACCATTTTCTGTATTAATACAGATTATTCAATCTTTTTTAATGATTTCATTACATTTAATAATATGAATGAACTTTATTTAGCCACTCTTGATAAGGATTTAGGTTGTTTTATACTTTTGCTACATACAAACATTGCTGCAGTGATCATTCACATGTATGTTTTGGGTTATTTTGTAGGTATTTAGGTAGGAGTTCCACTTCTACCAGTGGAACTTATGTACCAATGAGAGCAGGCTTTCAAATTTTGATAAGATATTACAAAATCGCTTTTATAAAATGTTTTAGTAATTCATATTCTATGAAAAGTGTATGAGAGTGCTTATTTTCCTCAAACCCTTGTGAGACTAAATCATCAAACTTTTACATTTTTTTGCTAATTTTATAGATGAAAAATAAATCTCATTGTAATTTACATTTTTAAAATTATTGGTGAGATTGAACATATTTTCAAAAATATGCTTTAATTTCTTTTCCTGTGAACTAAGTGTTCATTTCCTTTACCTATTTTATGTCAAATCATTTTCTTTATTTGCCTTTTTTAATACTTTAAGTTAATGTTGTTATTCTGTCTGCATTCCCCTTTTTAGTGAAAAAATCATGTAAGTTAATCATTTTCTTCCTGAAGCTTCCTATTATAATATTTTAAATATAGAACCAAACTTGCAATAGTTTTTATATGACTTGGTAGATTTTAAGATTAAGAACCATCTATCCTGTTTTTTTCTTCCAACTGCATCAAAAACTAAATGCTTTGGACTTTTTCATGTATATAATATGAATGCTCATTTTTTTTTGATGACAAAAAAACAATATATGATCTTCTCCCCCAATTAGCATTATAACTTTTGCTCTCTCATGATTGAAGAGTTGTTGATAAAGGAATTTAAAGTGCAAACCTCCCTGTTTAAGGCTAGAAGCATCTGTCTTCAACTGGTTAGAAGAAATACTAGGTATTCCTGGATGTCAGGAAGAAGGGATATCTGCTGGGTATGATGACTATGAAGCTCTGGTTAGTTTGAGACTCTTTATTGCTGAGAGGTACTTTTTGGAAGCATTTCTTTTATATTCCTTTTTTCACTGTCATCCTACATGATAGAACTGAGAAGTAAGATTGGAATGTGTATTTTGTCAGGAGTAACTCCTTTATTCTTAAAATGGCTGACGATTTTTCATCCTCCAGATCAAATAGTGATCTGTTCTTTTAAGCAGTAACTTCCTTGTGACTTGCTCACTCTCATGAAGCTCTGTTATGGCAGAGCTTTCTCTTTATCATAGTTGAGCAGGTAGGATTTTATCTTGCTCTCATGGATTAACCTGTACAACATGTTTATCCCAAACCACTGAAATATATTGCTGTTCATTTATAAAGAACAGAAGAGTGATCCAGTTAATTATTCGTATTCTCTAATGTTATTAAATAGGACCTCTGTTCTTAGCCATGCTTCTGGAACCCTATGCATGGTACAGCTATTTGGGGTTCAAGGAGACATCTGATGAGCAATCAAAACAGTAACAGACATTGAAGAGGAGGGTAGATGAATTTTGGCTGAGACACAATACGTCAGGGAAGAACAGAGTGTATTTATTGAGGACTTAGAAATGTAGTGAGTTTTAGAGTGGCAGAAGTAATTTTGTTCTGGTTGCCCTAGTTCATCTAAAAAGACTAATTTTAGTTAATTTAGGACTCCATCTGATTTTCCAAATGCAATAAATCATTAGCATAACTATTTGAAGCACTTCTTTCTTTTGATTAGTATTCCAGTGGAGATTAATAATTTTCTACCCTAAGAGTAGAAATAAAAAGGATATTTTATCAGCACATTGCACCTGTCACATATCACATCTTGAATAATTCATGCCCACTGTTGTTGCCAAGCAAAACTTAAGCAAAGTTTTAGATTTTGAAACTAAATTTTTGAATCATAGTTATTTAATAAATGTTTGTGAAAACCAGCAGTTCACTTTTAAAAACCCTAAAAGAAGCCATATGAGAAGAGCTAATGAAATCAACACAATTACAATGTCCTGCTTATAATTCTATTAATGTTATTAATAGAAAAGCACGCAAAGATACCACAGCTGTGCAATTATGAAGACAACATATTTGACTCACTGTGGTTGCCCTTTAAAAGTGCTTCCCACAAATGAGCTCAGAAGAGACAAAAGCAGGGGGTAGCAGTTGGCCTCTGATACATACATGGTAGTGTCAAAAAGGATTATTGCATCAAAACAATTGTATTGGTTCTGTGAAGGCATTTGATATTCAAAATTAGGAAAGGTTAAAGTCGTCATTAAGATTTTCCCAGGAGATGTGAGATGTGAAGATAATATGGATTAAGAACAGCGAGGGGAACCTGGGTGGCTCAGTGGGTTAAGCACCTGACTTTAGCTCAGGTCATGATCTCAGGGGTGGAGCCCCTGTGTCAGGCTCCCCTCTCAGCGGGGAGTCTGCTTGTCCCTCTGCCCCTCCCCCTGCTCGTGCGCTCTCGCGATCTCTCTCTCTCTCTTGCAAATAACTGAATAAAATCTTGAAAAAAAATCTCTGTAAGAACAGCTAATATTTCTAGGTTTGGATATATTTCACTTCCCCTTTCCCTTTAAAATAGGCACTTTATGGGTGCCTGGGTGGCTCAGTTGGTTAAGCGACTGCCTTCGGCTCAGGTCATGATCCTGGAGTCCCGGGATCGAGTCCCACATCGGGCTCCCTGCTCAACAGGGAGTCTGCTTCTCCCTCTGACCCTCTTCCCTCTCATGCTCTCTATCTCTCATTCTCTCTCTCTCTCAAATAAATAAATAAATCTTTAAAAAAAATAGGCACTTTATGATTACATATGTTATTGTCTAGCCTCCACCCAAACCATGTCCCTCCTCCACCATCTGTAGCCTCAACTCTACCCAAAAGGGGATGTTTTCTCTTAAGAGTCCATAACTTCTCCCAAGGCTATAATTTTGGATGATATTTTACTTTCTATTTGGGTAGAACCAGAGAATAAAAATTCCTAGAAAAGTTAAAAGGAATTAGTAGGAATAGAAAACAGAAGGAGTTAATTTCTAAGGAGAACATCTATTTCTAATTTGCAGAAGAATTTTATTTTGTAGATTTTTAATATGAGTATTGTAGAAGAGATTATCATTTCTTAATCCTCAAAGAATTCATGAAACACCTATTTTATGTTGCTGCTGTTTAGTAGAAGGAGATTCCAATGTGTTAATCATGGATGAAAACAGATCCAGACACACTGTAAGAAAATCAAATAATCTCAGAGTTTAAATCCGCCCCCCAAGGAAAATGTCATACAATTGGCCTACAGTTTTTATTTTTTTCATTGTTCATTACGTCTCATTCATGCCTGTGAGACTCTTGTTTGCTATTCAAACAAATGTCAGCTGAGTTTATTTGAAAACTGGAATAAATTGCAGCACTTTAGGTCATTAACTGCAATCAGGCATTTTGCAACTGACTGTCTATTCAGTGACTACAAATCTTTAAACAGGATTTGGTGTGTTCCCAGACCTCTTAATTTCGATCTTTGAAATATGAAATGTAATAAAGAAGCAGAAAAGAGAGATATACATATGTATTTGTGTGTGTGTGTGTGGAGAGAGAGAGAGAGAATACATGTATAGGATATATACATATATATTTTTAATATATATGTCTTTTAAAAATAATTATTTAAACAGCTCTTAATGCTTTTGGCATCATTCTGGAGTTGGCCTAAAGCACTGAATCTTGAAATGTTTAGACTTGATATTTGTAACTTGTGAGTTTCTTTTTATGGAAAGTATCTTATGCTTCTTCCTATAATATTCATAAAATCTATGGCTAAATCAAGCTAATATCCATATATTTGGTTACCTTAACTATCAGACTGGAATTCCCAGATATTCCATTCTTCTTTTCTAAAGGACTAAGCCTCCAATCTGAAGGAAATTATGCTAAAGGAAGGACGATACCTTTAGGTTTGTTTTTTAAAATTTCTTTTCAGAGAGACATATAAATCAATGGAATAGAATAGAAAACTGAGAAAGGCCAACCCAAGTACAGCTACCTGATTTTTGACAAAGAGCAAAAGCTATTTAGTGGAAAAAGAATTGTCTTTTCGTCAATGGTACTGGAACAATTAGAGATCTACAGGTAAAAATATTGATACCTCATAGTGTCTACAAAATTAATTCAAAATAAATCATAACTCTAAATGTAAAACATAAAGGTATACAAATTTGAGAGAAAAATATAGGCAAAAATCCTAGGAGGACCTAGGACCCAGATGATGAATTTTTAGACATGATATCAAAAGCACAAACCATAAAAGAAAATATTCATAAATTGGACTTCACCAAAATTAAAACCTTTGTGCTGTGAAAGATCCTGTTAAGAGGATAACGACAAGTTATAGACAAGGATAAAATATTTGTAAACCATATATTTGACAAAAATATTATATATAAAAGATACAAAGAACTCCCAAATTTCAACAGTATGAAAACAAATCAATTAGAAAAATGGGCAAAAGCACAGTCTGGAAGTGACACACATAATTTCTGCTCACATTCCTTGTCCAGAACTAGTCAATAGTCATATGGTCTCACCCGGTCAAAAGGGAGCCAGGTAATGATAACCTAGGTAGAGAGGGACAACTAGTTGATGAACAGTGCTAAAGACCATCGCATGATTTATGAAATATTATGGCCCTATCAAAGCCTGAAAATCATTAAGAATCACTAATATGAAAAATTCTCAACAGTATACACAAAAATATTCTATAAAATTGCCAGCATGAAGAAATATTGTCAGTGATTTGGGGCTTAAATGCAAGTTTTTTCAACCTTCAAGTGTCTTATAAACTCATGATAGGTATTGGTATTCCCTGTTTGTCAACTGTTGGCAGGCATACATATTCTTCCCTATTGGTTTCCTTTTCATTTTGTGACAACTTTTTTAAATTTTTTTTTATTTTTTAAAGATTTTATTTATTTATTCATGAGAGACAGAGAGAGAGAGCGGCAGAGGGAGAAGCAGGCTCCCAAGGAGCAGGGAGCCCGATGCAGGACCCGATTCCAGGACTCTGGGATCATGACCTGAGCTGAAGGCAGACACTTAATGATCTGAGCCACCCAGGTGCCCCATTTCCTGACAACTTTTTGTTTCCTGAACAGTGAGGATGGATACATAGTTTTCTTTTTCTTTCTTGGAACTTTGCACATTAATCATTCTGATTAATCCTTTTGGTTGGTTATTTCTGGCTGATCCACCGCTTCCCTAACTAGTTACTGCTGGAGTTAGATCATTTGATTACATACAACAATAATATAATATTTTATAGAGAACCTGAGTGGTATTGCATGGAGAGAGGAAGTTAGAGCAAAAATGACGAAGGAGAGGAGAAATGAGAAAAATGGTGGAGGGAATGGGAGGAAAAGCAATTTAGGCTTTATTTAGGGTTCATTAAAAGTGGTGGAATTAAACTGGTCATCTATTAGGATTAGAGAACAAGTCTCTAAAAGAATAAGAGATTTATTTAGTGCCTGTGCCAGAGCAGTGGAATCACTGGTTTCTTTTTATTCCTTCCATTTATCTTAGTTAAACAAACTCAGATATTATTAATCATTTCACTCTAAGAAGGCAGTGGTCTCCCATTTGGCATCTTGACATCAAGGCTCTTCTGTTCTCCATCCGGGCAGCAAGGCCCAGGGATTGGAGGCTAAGCTCCATTCTCATAGGATTCTGTAGTCCCTAGGAAATTACTGCAATCACTAGATTTCATCCAAGCAGGCCTAATGAGTATTTTTCTTATAGAATAGGCCCCAAATTATACTAGCCTTCCTATCAAATGGAAAAATTACCAAGAGACTCAAATATTCCATTTTGAGACCCCCCACTGAAGAAAAATGAATACTCTTTTCATTTTCTTTTGCATCTTTTCCAATTGCCATTTTTCTTCTATGAAGTATATTCTATTAATTCTACAGCAGATTCATTTTGACCACTGAATAAACATTTATATTAAGATAAATCACAGACCTGTACCCCTGAAACAAGTAATATATTATATGTTAATAAAAAATTTAAAACTATTTTTTCAGAGCTCAACAAACTAATAAAAACAACATTTGAGTTTTTCTTTGTCTTCTATACAACTTCCAATGACGAAAAGAATGCTTGTTAGATGGAATTAAAATGAAATAAACCAAATGACTGGGCTAGTTTTTACTTCCAAACCCACAAAACCAAGAAGGAATGTGAATATCTTTCTGTTTCTACTTTTTATTTTTGGGACAAAGGATCATTCATCTACAATATACTATTCAATGTGCTGATAATGTTTATTTGTGTAGGTGGTTGAAGTTTGAAGAAGATGTGGAAGATGGAGGAGAAAGGTGGAGCAAACCCTATGTGGCTACTCTTTCCTTGCACAGCTTGTTTGAGCTGAGAAGTTGTATTCTGAATGGAACTGTGTTGCTGGACATGCATGCCAACACTTTAGAAGAAATTGCAGGTATATCTTTTTTTTTTCCCCTTAGTCTATTTCACTCATATGGGCATAGCTGATTTCTGTTATTCCCTTTTCCTTATAATTCTCTATATGTGTACCTTTGGAAAATTAATTCTATGATCAGCATATGAGACCTTAAAAATAACTTTCTCCTACTCCCTTATTTAAGGTAAAAGAAGTTGAATCTCAGAGAAATGTGGTCCACCTTGTCAGTGGCAAGTCTAGAACAAGAACCTAGATTTCTAGAACCTAGTCTAGAACAAGAACCATTTAATATATATTGTTTTTCTCACGGAACACTACATCAAAAACTAATGATGTACTGTATGGTGACTAACATAACATAATAAAAAATAATATATATTGTTTTTCACTACCATGCTTAATTAAGCTGTCACTATTAGGAAATTGAAGGAAAAGAATTCATAAACCTAGAGATGGATTTTTTCAATATTCAAATGCATGAAATAATCAAATAAAAAATCAGTAGATAGGGAAAATCTTAATGTAGAATAGAACAGAAAGATATGGTCATTTATTTTAAACTGAAATAAAACTCATGAATTCCAGAGGATGCCAAGCAATGCAGTTGAGATTAGTTTGTTATTTAATATTATGACTAGCCCCTGGGATGAAAGATTTGTATTAGAAGCCTATTATGTCTATATAACACAAGCAATTATGTTTAGGAAGCATCTTACTGTTACTCTAGAAATAGAGGAAAGAACTCCTGTATCTTTTGATCTGGAAGACAAACACACTTTAGTAAAAACAAAATAATACAAAAAGAGTTTTGAAAGAGTATAAATGAAATAGTTAATGGAGATTTTAAAAATAAAAATAAAGCAAGGACTCAGGTGGTTTTTAAAAAATTTCTAGTTTGGAAAAAAGAAATAAAAGCAGTTCCATGTAGAATTTATTTGTAAAGTAGAAGGACTTAAGGGAAACTTTAATGTCTAAATTATATTGTAGAGATGGGAAAAAAAAAACCTCAAAAACTCTGTGTTTTTTGGATTCCATAAGTGAAAGAATATTATACAAAAAAATAGACATAATTTAATCTTCAGAGTAGTCTCATGAAGTAAGTGTCATTCCCATTTTCAATAAGAAAATAGACATTCTGAGACTTTCAGGGCCCTTGTTCCATCTAAAGGCGTCTGACTGTAAGCTGTGTGTTCTTTATATTACACTACAACTGCTGTCTGAAGAAAGAGAATGGCTTGAAGTGGATGTTGCCCACATTTTAATGATAGTTTAATTATTTTAAAAATTATTTATTTGGTTATTGGAGCTGATAGGCATGTGTACATTGCAGTATGTGTGGAAAGGAAAGTAAGTATGGAAAGATATCTTGGCCTACAATATTAAGCAAAAACAAAATCAAAACAGAAAAAATGGGTTAGATAAGCCTTCTTTTCCTTCTTTCTAGAGTTTCATACTACACCTATAAAGAGCTTTCCCTTTAAAATACATAACTAGAAAAAATAAAATAAAATACATGAGTAGAGCCAAAAAGACTATATAAGTTAAATACAGTATATTTTTCAGAAAAACACAGGATACAGTGATGGATAACACTAAATCAAGACTTTGAGAAAATGGTTAACTTAGGAATTAGCAAATTTCTTGTGAATGCTGGAATAATAGCTACCCAACTTAATTTCTTAGCTTTACATTATGGGGTCCTGCGGATAGCCCATAAACATTTTTATGTTTTAATTAGGAACCAAATGACATTTTCATTGGTACTTTGCAATTTAGGAAGCTCTTTTTAGTAATTCCCTGCTATCTTTTTGATATTCAGAACAAAATTGGAGCTTACTATTATGATTGTTTATCCTTCATAAATGAAGAAACAGATTCAGAAGGTTAAAGGTCTTGCCCAAACTAAGTTTATTTCTTAGTATTATGATTGTGTATCCTTACTTCATAAATGAAGAAACGAGCTTCAGAAGGTTAAAGGTCTTGCCCAAAATAAGGAGTTTATTTATGTCAGTGATGGCATTACCTTTGAAAATGGATTAATCCAAATGATTTTTGGATTGGCTATATCTAATGAGACTGTCAGATTCTTCAACCTGGAAAAATTAACCTCAGAAAACACCCTTCATAGTTTTACCAGGTTTTAAATTTCTTAAAGCATGTAATTTCTAATGCTTTCTTTAGAAATTTACTTCTACCAGGAAATATCCCATGAATTTGACAGAAACTCTGTTCATCTTGTCACCTTAGTTCAGTTTTATTGTCTAAATTTATGTTTCATTTTCCTACTGCTGCCCTCTTCCCCAAGCTGAGTTCTATGGAATATGGGAGGGTTGTTAGCTGTGTTAATTCTTGCTCTTGAAAGCAAATTACATTTTCTGAGTCTATCCTTACAAAGGAAAGTAGTTCAATGGAAGTCTTGATACCCCAAATAGCTTTTATTCTTTCTGCTCGTCTAATTAGTCTGTATCTTTATGTCTCCAAAGTAGCTCAACTTGAATGTCCCATTTTTCAGTGTAGAGCAGCTGTAAAATGCCATTCAGAAGATGTCAGTAGTTTAGAGATAATACCACATTAAAAAAATATGATTAAAAATACTTGATCATTATTACCTTAAATTTCTTTTCACACATTAATGAGAAGAAATTTCTTCTCTTTGAGTAATTGTAATGTGACTTATTTAATACAAAGGTATTTATTTCTGGCCTCAATAAAATCTTATTAAAACATTTTCTCCCTATAGTTCGTAATTATTTTCTTGCTGTTTACTTATTGCTATTTTTACTTTGTGACAATGGAGCTGTATTACTAAGTGTGTATTAAGTATACTTTACATTTTTAAGACTTCTAACTTTGTATTTTCACATTCATTATATTTTATTATCACAGTAACCTTATGAGATAGGGAGGAGGATATACACCCTGTTTTATAAACAGATAAACAGAAAGTGATGTATCATAGGTGATACTTGCAGCGATGGGAATAATTTCTTTTATTAACCTATAGTCATAAGTTTTGTTTTATTCTATTTCAAGATAACTTGTGACCATAGTGATTAACAATAGGACCGGGAACTCTTCTGCACCTCTTATTGATCATGTTTTTCTATATGTTAGGCAGTTCCTAACATATTAGTCACTAGTTTCAATTTTCTAAAAGCTAGATATAATATCAATCTTTAAGGGCTCTAAACTCTTAAACTTTGTGAATACATAGGTTCTGCAGCATTAATATTTTCTAAACATTTTCTAATAGAGAAATATGACCCAGATATTGTTTTAGAATAATCAAGGATTTTTATATCAGTATTCTGATATGTTTTTAATAGAGTCTTAGATAATTCTTTAAAGAGATTTTTGTAGACTTAGCAGGAGAAAATCCCATTTGTATCTGGCAGGTTTGTCAAGAATGTCTGATATAATTAAAGTAGGATTTTCTTTTGGACAAAGTTCATTTAAAAAATGTCTATTTCCCAATGTTTCAGGGAACTGAGAATAAATTTAAACTTCTTCCTTCAAAATATTATTTAACCTTTTCAAATCCAATTCTTCAGATACGTTTTTTTACCATGATTTATCCTGATGGAGATTAATTGTATTTAAAATGCTTCTTAATTATATTTATATAAATTAGAGGCGATTTTATGGTTTCTGTCAATCTCTTTGAAATTCAGCACTGTAAAGATTAGTAATGGAAATATTCTCTCTGTAGTTATATGCTTTAACCCAATTCTGTCAATTGGAGTAAGAAATGAAAACCAAACCAAAGTTAGGACCATGGAAAGATTATCAATCATAGCTCTCCACTCATTTAAACAACTTTTGTTGTTGAAAATATTCTACTGAAGGAAAAAAATCGAAGCTTGTTCCACTGAGTGCAATCTGCAGATTTGGGAGTATAGGAATAGTCACTGATTGTTTAACATGTCCATACTATTACCATCCATGTTCTGGAAAGTAAGTATTCTTGGGGTAGTTTACAATTTTCATATATACACTCCTTTTAGTGCTGTCAACAAAACTGCTGAATTTAGACCCTTCTTATTTCTCACCCCCCCCTCCCCCCACCCGCAGCATCTTTAAAGTTAAGGCAATGGGTTTTTAGGACAAAGAATGTATATGATTGTCTTCTAAGAGGCAGAGATTTCTATAGAATCTGTAAAATCTCATGATCTCTGGAGGTTTTCATTCAGTGCTCAGGATGGGTTGATCATGATAAAATAATTGCCTGGTTAGAATGAAAAATAATTTTTCTTTTTTTGAGGCCTTTTTACAGAAATGCTACCAGCATTCCTAGAGCTGGCTTGGTGCTAGAAGAGTGTGACCTATTTATCCTTCTTGTTCTTGCTTCTCCTGCTATCACCCAGATCCTGGCATTGTGCTTTGGCAGGCTAGACTCTGTTATTTAGACATCATTGCTGGCTGAGATTGTAGGACTTGATTTGGGGCCCAAAGCCATTATAGTTCATTATCCTTTCCTACTTTTCAAGGTTAATACTAATACATATTATAGTGGTGAAGAGAACAATGAAAGTGATTAGTGAATCAGGCTCCCCGTGGTACTTAAATCTCACCTCAGTATAAGTTATATTCTTAAGCAAGATGATTAACTTTTCTAGTTCATTAAGATATATTTGATGCAGTTATACCTCAGAGGAGTTTACTGTGTATTTCTGTGTGTCTAATGAGCAGATGAGCATTTTTTTTTCTATTTACTTTCTCTTTTGTAACTGTTTCAAATGAAGACCTTAATTCTGAAAGACTGTGAAGCTAGTGACTTATGGGTTTTTGTAGTGCTTAAGCCAGGAAAGACTGTACTTTGGTAAGAACTAAAAATCATAACCATGTACCTGGGGTTTTATATGATTCATTTGATTTTGATTAGTATATTGAACTGGGGCTATACATTACGGCTTACAGATGAAGCTGTGGTACAGTGGTACCCTTCTGGTGTTTTAATAACCTACTTTATAACTCCCATTATGAAGTACATGTGACGTATTTTTTTAAATTTTATTTTA